AGTCTCGAGGAGAAGCTCTCTCATTTAGAAGATGAGAATCATGTTCTGCGACAAAAAGCACTGAGTCCCTCTTCAAAAAGCAACCGTGCTAATTTTTCGAAGGCATTTTCTGATGTAAGCTTGTTGTCTGTTTCCTGTTTACTATAGTTATTATGCATGTTTGATTTGCCTTTGGTGGCTAGTCTGTAATCTATTGCTTTTTTTATAAGAATTGCTTTCCACTGGAATTTGTAACAATTAATAATGAAAATGAACTTATTTTCTTTCATTTGAATCAGAAATACACTGGTGCACTGGCTCTCCCCCAGATTGACCGGAAGCATGTATTTGTAAGATCTGATTTTTATCAGTTTTTTTCTGCTTTGATTCTTAGTAACATTATTGCTTGCCTAAATTACCTTTCACCAAAAAAAAAAAAAAAAGAGAAAACAAAAGAAAATTTTCTTACTAACTACCCTTGTTTCAACTTTAATTAAATTAATTGTTAAACACTTTCTACTAACATTTTTTTTTACTTCGATTTGCTTCATTGCACTATTTTCTGTTCAGGAATCACCCACACCTTCAAAGCTTATTGTGCCTTTCTCACATGCCATGTCAGAATCACGTCGTTCAAAACTGACAGCAGAGAGGCAGCAGGTTTCTTATTTGACATTTCTGAAGCCTCTAGTTTTACATTGTAAATAATTAAATGTCAATATCATCGTGTGATTGACAATAAGCATTGTTATGGGCAAGAGAATGAGAGATTAAAAGGATAAAGATTTGCACTGATTTACTTGGATTTTGCATTCATGTTATTTGAAATGTTGTATTTTTATCTGCAGGAAAACTATGAATTCCTCTCTACGAGTATAAAAGAAAATTTGGGGTTTGACAATGGAAAACCACTTGCAGCTTGTATCATATACAAATGTCTTCTTCATTGGCATGCCTTTGAGTCTGAAAGGACAGCTATCTTTGATTATATAGTAGAACAGATTAATGATGTTCTGAAGGTATGTTTCCCTTCAAACTGTTTATGCAATTGTAAAGTTCCTTTTTCTTTTTAACCAATATCTGTAATGTAATTTTTGTATTTTTACCATTTTTCTGATTTGTAATTCTATTTTTCCTGTAAATATTTGTTAGCTGTTGAAGCTTATCTATAACCTGATTTTTTTCTCTTAAATAATTGTTTGGTATTTGTGATTATCAAATTTCTTGCAGGATGGAGATGAGAACATTACATTACCATATTGGCTGTCCAATGCTTCAGCACTTTTATGCCTCCTGCAGAGGAACTTGCGGTCAAATGGCTTTTTGACTGCAACTACTCAGCGTTCTGCAGCTTCTACTGGCTTACCCGGGAGGGTTGCATATGTAAGTTCAGTTAAAATTTGAAATTAGATTTTTCATATTTTCTTTGTATGTACTAGGGATTCATGTTTTACAGGGCAGACTGTACATTAAAAGTGCAGTCTGCACTATGACTTACATTATTTCATTGAGGGTATTTTAGTAAATTAATTGGGCAGCTTGCACTTTCAATGTATGGTCCACCTTGTAAAACACTTTTTTGTATGTACTATGTAGATGATCCTCCTGTATCATATTTTGTATTTTATTGTGTTTGCTTTGCAAAACATCATTTTTTAGATCCTTGGCACATTTTCAATAGAATTTGGCTTGTTTTGTCACTATGTACTTTTAAAGAGTGACAAATTTAAAGGGGAATTAATCTTGTGGAATCAAATCGATTCACTTCTTTGTATTCTTTAAGATGTACACATTGTTTAAAAATAAGTAGGGGTTGGAAAATTTGGAAAATATATTAAATTATTATATGGCTAGTATCATTCAATCAACTTGATAATAGTCTGCCTTCTACATTACTTGAAGCTTATTATGGTTCATTAGTCATGCTTCTGCTTTACCTGAATGGAAGGAAGTTGGTTGAATGAAGTTCCCAATGTAACGATTGTTAATTGTCTCATGTTGTGGGGTAGGAATGCATCAGAGTGATAACTTCTTTGGCAATTTCATTATGAAACTTAAGTAAAATAAATTGGCCCATTTGTCACTTGCATGTTGAAGGGTGAAGGGAACATTTATCTTTTTTATTTTTTATTTTTAGCGTCATTAAGGAGGTATAGTAATTAATTTTTATGGTTGCATTTTTATTTCTTAGTTGAATGGTTTTCTAAGCAATACCTGATTTTCTTTGCTTCTGCTTTCCAGGGTCTAAAATCTTCTTTTAAACTCCTTGGATTTGAGGATGGTATGTCACATGTAGAAGCAAGATATCCAGCCATACTATTCAAACAACAACTAACAGCTTGTGTTGAGAAGATTTTTGGCTTGATTCGTGACAATATTAAGAAAGAATTATCTCCTCTGTTGGGTTTATGCATCCAGGTTGGTGTCCATTCGCAGATCTTGTGCAGATAAACATTTAAAAGTTCAAATAAATAATGTAGTTGTTTTTATACTCTAGATCAGTTCCTCTTTCAGATTTTCTATCATAGTTTTGGTTAGAGTATGAATTCAGTTAAAAGAATATGTGGGAAGTAATCCAAATGGTTAGTACATTTTGTACTGAACTATAAACAATATTTTGCTCAGGAATTTTAATTTTTTATTACTTTTCTGTGCCTTCATGTTCTAGTTTTTATGTTTGTTTCCTACTCTAGGAACATTGACCATATATCCCTTGCTTGTTAATTGAAGGTGCCAAAGAGTGCACGAGTACTTGCTGGAAAATCATCTAGATCTCCTGCAGGTGTTACACAGCAATCACAGACTAGTCAGTGGGATACCATTGTCAAGTTTTTGGATTCTCTTATGGTCCGTCTGCATGAAAATCATGTATGCACAATCTTTTCTTTCCTTTTGCTTTTCCAATTTATCAGATGCCTGATTTGGTTGGCCTTTTTGAATGAGTTAACAATGTTATCTGTTATATATATAATTCTAGAGAAATTTATATTGAAATCCTCAGTGCTCTATTCTCTCTTTAACCGAAAGAAAATTGTATAGGTACCTTCTTTCTTCATCCGGAAGCTCATCACCCAGGTTTTCTCGTTCATTAACATCTCACTTTTCAATAGGTAATTTATCATAGCATAGATTTGCTTGTAATTAATGTATCGTTGATTAATGTTCTAAAGCCAAAATGCTCTTCAGTCTTTTACTTCGCCGTGAATGTTGCACATTTTCAAATGGGGAGTACGTGAAATCTGGTCTAGCAGAATTAGAGAAGTGGATAGTCAATGTGACAGAGGAGGTAACTTCTTTACTAAATTTGTAAACTACATCTTCAATGGAATGCTTCTGATTCTGGATCACTGGAAAATGCAGTTTGCTGGAACATCTTGGCATGAGCTTAACTACATTAGGCAAGCTGTTGGTTTTCTGGTATAAGTTTCTGCTTACCTCTATTTTCACTTATTAAGATATGGACCATTGAACTGAGATATCTATATGTTTCACTGATCAATTTATCAAATTTAGGTAATACATCAGAAAAGGAAGAAGTCCCTAGACGAGATCAGACAGGATCTCTGCCCAGTAACGTCAACTGTTTATCTTTTTATTGCATCAAAGAAAACCATTTCTGTATTTAATAAATCTTGATTTCCTGGTGGCTGTGTATTCTTGCACAGGTATTGACGGTTAGGCAAATCTATCGAATAAGTACAATGTACTGGGATGACAAGTATGGCACTCAGAGTGTGTCGAATGAGGCAAGTTGCAATGTTAGCTTTAGCATTTTTTTTAATCAGCCAAAAATGATATTATTATATTATATTTGGAGTACAAGGATACTCCAACCCATCGCATTATCATTTTGAGAGCAATACTATTAGCATCAGCAATTGATTTTTTGTTAATTCATCCTCTAGAGTTCTTACATTGCATTCTGCTTAAACAGGTAGTTGCCGAAATGAGGGAAATCTTAAACAAGGACAGCCAGAATCTAACCTCAAATTCATTCTTGTTGGATGATGATCTTAGGTAAGCTGCTTGACTCTATCATAGTATGGGAGAGATAAAAGTATATTGGGATTTGACCCTATCAAATTATCAGAAGTTTATGGATTGAATCCTCATTTGGTCAGTCTCACTTCAAGTGATTGCAAAGCAATATGTTTCAGCCAGTTCAATTTGATTTGGTTGATCATTTTTCTTATTCAACTTTTAGTCATTTTTCTTATTCAACTTTTATCTTGCTATTGTATTGAATTTCTGATTTTACAATTGCAGCATTCCTTTCTCAACTGAGGATATAGATATGGCTATTCCTCCTATAGATCCTTCAATCGTCGAACTTCCGGCACTCTTATCAGAATATTCTTGTGCACAATTTCTTACCCAGCATCTAAGTAGAATGGTCCAGCCAACAACAGAAAAGGTTTCTACCGCTTCTTAAGGATAATACTCTTGAATCAGGCCTATGATTCACCTTCAGCGATGTCACGTTCCCTTCGGTACCCAAAAACAAATTTAGATCCACAGAAACTAGAAAATAGTCATTGTTCTTGTAAAAACTGCATGTCTGATGAATTTTTCACCAGATGATTGTTGTAGGTGTAGCTGTTTTTAAGTTTTTATTGTTTAGGAACAGGGTTTTCTGTTCCATGAATGTATTCTTTCTGTATAAACATTTCACATTTTGTACATAAATTAGCTGTAAAACTACAGTAAATTAATGCAATTATTCTGCTTCAACATTCAAAAAGAAAACAAATCCAATGGTTGTTAGATTGATCAGCAGCCATTAAAGACACTGCTCGACAATTGATATTTTCTTTTTACATTAAGCAATCAAGGCTCAGAAAAGCACAAGGAAGCATAAAACATGCTAGGAAATGAACTCAAAACATCTTACGGTATCAACGAAGCTTCATAAGGTCAGTTCCGTTACAACCTGGAGGGCTAATGTGAGTTTGTAGTAGCTGTATTGGTACATTGTTGTATATCAGCCACTGAGAAGGATCGCCAGTTTGAGGAAAACTGTTTAGTAGGCGGTGAGAAGGACATGTTATTATAAGACACCCTGGAGGACTGTGGGTGCAATGGAGGAAGACGAGGGCTCAAGGTGGAAGAAGACTCCTCGCTGGTACTAGAAAGGCTCTCGGAGCTGCTCATAGCAACCGCCAACGCCAATGTACTCCGGCTGGAGGTGATGGGTTTTTTATTCCGGTTCTTATCCCATACATGGTTGATCGCCAGAAGGTTTCTCCGCCGCCTGGTGTAGGCGTTTTCAGGTTTAGCAATGTCTTTAATGGATGGAGAACCAACAGCATCCGCTAAAATAGCAAAGGACTTGGATTTGCCATTGTAGAAACTTGAGATGCCTCTTCTGCAACAAGAATCAGAATCAAAAGCTGAACTTTACCAAACCCATAATTTTCTGAGACTCGATGAAGGAGAAAGAAGCCATGAAATTTGCGATCCAGTCAGATTAAAGAAATTTTTTTTTTTTTTCAGATAATACTCTAAAAAATATAGAAACAAAGATGGAAATATATATATAGAAATATATACCTGATGGGCAGAACCTCCTCCAGAGAATCCATCATATCCAAGGGATTTTTGTACGAACTTTGTACCTCATTTTCCTCGCCATCTCCTCCATCCGATGATCTTCCAGACACATGACCATCATCGTCCTCGTCACTATTTCTCCCGATCGAGGACGACGAAGTCGTCCCAGACAAGCTCCTGCAATCCTCCTCCTCCTCCTCCTCCACTTTCCCCTCCGTCGCCACCAACGGCGACTCAAACACGGAGTCGCGCGGCATCACTCGCCTGAACCCAGTACCCGCATCTATCCTCTCCAATGCAATCGACATAATTACACTCCCGAAAACTCCAAGATCCAAAAACACCCAAGAAAAAACCAACAAACAACCTCCCCCTCGTTCGTATTGAAATCACGATCTCGATGAAGAGCGTAGAGAAGTCAGAAGGAGGAAGAATTGAAGATTTTATGGGTCGGAAGATTTGTCAGGTTGTTTGTTTGCTGCACAAAAAAGAAGATGTAGGTGAATAGACATTTATTCATTTTGTAAAATTGAATAAAGTAACTCCATGCTATGCCTTATCCTCATCCACTCCCATGTCAGAATTATCATTTTCTCTTTTCCCTTTTTTATATTAAAAATGAGTTCTTATCCTCTGTGCTCGGCTACAAGGGCCCTGCTTTTTCTCTTTGCAGTTCAACTTTATGGTACTTCTTCATCTGCTCAATTTTAATAATTTTAATCTAAATTTTTAATTTTTTAAACATAAATTGTATATAAAA